GAGGTGATGAATGTGTAGCTCGATAATGGATAGATGGATAGATAAGCACACAGAAGGAATAACTCATGGGGACAGAAGAAATGAATCAGTATTACACAGGGAGAGCTGGAAATCAGTTGCTTCTAAATCCCAGTAGGCATAAGAATCCTCTGAAGAATTTAACAAATAACTTAATAAATACACAGAAATTCTGACTCAGTAGTTCTGGGCTGAGACCTAGGATTTTATATTTTAAATAAATACTGGGTTGATTCTACTTCAGCTGTAATTTCAAGAACCACACTTGGAAAAGTACTGGCTAAACCCTAACCCAACTAATAGGATGTACAGACCAACCAAGGTCAAGGCCAAGATCAAAGCTGATCCCTCTACTGTGCTGCACACCGCCTCCCTTTCCCTTTTTGGGTCTTCAGTCCAGGGTGTTTCAGTGGTGTGAGGGGTAGGAGAACAACATAGCTCAACACAGCCCCGTTCCCACCTCGTCAGGAGTGTCCACAGGAAGGAGGTCCCAGGCTTCCAGCAGAGTGAGGCTCCCCTGGTGGCTATGTAGCAGGCAGAGGCATCATGAGTGACAGGCCCGCTCAATCCCAGTCATGTCTCAATAACCTTCTGTGACTGGCCACTTGGCCTTGCCTCTATTTTTAGTCTGTCTCCAGTGAGGATTTCTGGAGCTCCTCTCCCAAGAGGGCAGAGACATGTGCATTCTGTCACTAATGCTTTACACAGCTGTGAAGAATTGGACTCCCCTGGCTGCCTCAGTGTCCCTACAGGTTCCTGTCTCACTTGGGTTCTTCTTTCCAAAGCCCTCCCTACCCATGTGGCTGCCAGCCCCGTCATTGGCTTGCAAACAGTTCCAAGGACCACAATATGCCAACCAATATCACTTATTAAAGTATGTCTACAAGATGCATGGATTTCAGGATTCATAGGAAGTTGCTTTTCCCAGACAGAAAAAGGAGAATGAGCACGATAGCTCCCAAAGTGCCAGCTGAATGTCACATACACCCACACCTCCAATGAGTTACTCTCTAAAACTATTCCCACCACCTGCATTGTTATTCCTCCGTAACATCAGGGAATAAGGAAGCTAAGACATGGTATCAGCATCCCACAGCTCTAACTACTGTACCACTTGCTCCTTTCCAGGCCCAGCATCACTTCAGGCAGGAACCTGTACCCATCTGTCCTCTCCTCCTGATCTGCCCCCGTCTCTGACAAGACCTCAGTGGAGTGTCCACAAAGGCATCAAAGATAGCTGAGCAACAGGCTAACATCAGGCAAGGCAGCATCCTCAGTTAAGACCCAAGAAACATTTTCCCTCCCTGTATCCCCAGCCATCAATCTAATCCAGTTTATAAGTTACTTAGCAATTCTAGGTCTCTCTACCTGCCACAACCCATTGGCCCTGGGGTGTCCCCTAAAATGTATTCTTCTTTCCTATTGCCTTGAGGTAGAGCAGGGGCCACTGGCAGGAATGGGAGTGAAGGTGGCCAGACATAATCAGATCCAAGGAGCTTTACAGAGACTTCTCCAACACCATGAGCCACTGATGTGCTCTGGAAACTGAGGTCCCAAAAGGGTCTCAATCCAACTGAATGAAAAGACAAGTTACTGAGAACTTAGAGGCCCCAGGAGTCCTGTCACTCACATGCCACTGGACACCACCAAATGACTACACTTGCACAACCTCTTTCTGGAGCAACCCCTTGGAATCCAAACTGTGCTCAGAAATGGCATTCCTGGGACAGCACAGTCACCTGACTCCGGGGCATGAGGAAGCAGGTGTGATTTCCTATGGATTTGCTACCCTCGGCTCAAATGCACCATGGGTGTAACAGAATTCATCATTCCCCCAAGACGTGGTCCCTTATTCCAAATGTCTCATACCATAACGTCATGCCCGTTTTGCTCACTTGCCACCTGTCAGACATGAAGACTCACTCACTTTCTCTGAGTGTGCCCCATCTGCCCTTTATTGCTGTGCTCTCATCTTCACCACAGGGCCCTCAAACCCTGACCCCTGGGGTCTGCCAATGCATCTGTGTGGGCTTCCCTCATGTTAGCCCTTGTCCCCCTCGCGCCACTCTTGCTCATGTGTCCAGCTCACTTCTGAGAACAGTTTCATCATTTTGTAATGGCTTCTTAATTTAGAGTGACCCCCCCCAACCATGACACCCAGACAAGAACTTAGGCTCAGTACTTTATCTCAGGCAGCACAAGAGTGAGGAGTGTGAAACAGGGAAGCCAGAAAAGCCAGCAGGGGGACTTTTACCACCGAGAAGCCCTGCAGAACCAGTATCAGCACTGTCTACCCGGGATTGGGGGCACTGGGCTACTGTCCACCAACTACACCTTCCTTGGTGGAGGGTTGTCCCTCAGGGAACTAACCCAGCATGGCCAGGCCCTTCTGCCCTGGACTGAATGGGCTGCCCAAGAGGAATCCTTCAGACAGGGAGAAAAATACAAGCCAGAAGGCACCCACCAAGGCCACAGGTGAACTTTAGGCCATGGGCTTATGGAACAGGGTACCGACAGCATCCACTGCAGCAACTCTGTGCCTTGGAGAGGAATTCCTGGGCCTGGCCTTCCAGGCAGGGCTGCCTGAGAAGACAGAGGACACCCAGGTAAACTAAGATCTCACATAAGTAATTGATTATTGTTTTAGTAAGTAATCCCTAACACTGCACTGGACATGCTTATGCTAAAATTTATGTTCTAATCTGAAATCCAAGTTTAACTGGACAATACCTTGTGTTTGTAGTTACAAACTAGCAACCCTCCTTGCAGGACCTGCTTGGTCTGATCTCAGTCTCTTTCCTACTACCCTGGTGCTCAAGCCCTTCTCTCCATAGGACATGGCTTTCACTGTATCTGGAAGCCACCATTGCCCCCACTGGGTCTAAAGTCTCTCTGAACACATCAGCTCACCAGGAGCAGCTGATGTCTGTCCTGGTCATCAGACTGCCTTGAATCATTTGTTAGCATGTGTCTGGAATCCTTATTTTCCCAGCCAGATTGAAGCTCCCTCCTGGCATGATGATCAATAGAAAATTACTAGATGGTAGATAAGGGGACCCCCAGGTCTCACCAGCATCTACAAGCCCTGTGAGAGCTAAGACAGAACTCATTTCTTCAGCCTTGGATCTCATGGTGAGAATGCTAGAGTGAAAACTACTTTTGGTGGGCTGGATCCATGCCAAGAATATCCTACCTACAGCACAGGCTTTCCACACCCACAGTCTGGGCTCTCAGTCCTTTACATGGTCTGTAAGACTGGCCTCTCCATTTGGCCTCAGTACAATATGGCCAGCCCACTGGGCAATGTCATGTTCTTTTCTCTTTCTCTCTTTTTAAAATTAGGTGCTCTGGTATGTATGCAATAGTCATAAATCTATATAATGCTGTAAATTGTAAAGAGCTTTCTCATGAATTATTTTATTGCCATACCCCTGCAAAGCAAGCAAATGGGTGTTGCTTTCTCCATGTGACAAACAGGACATTCTAAGTGGTTAAATGGCTGCCTCAAGTGATCACTGTTAAAGATTTTAGCAGCAATGCCTAGCTTTCACTTTACAAATGGGTTAACAATGTCTTACATCAGTGATGTAAACAGGAACATTTCTTTTTCAAATAAAACCCTTGTTCCCATGTTTGGGTCATCGCCATAGTGGCCACACAACAGCCAGGGGGTCCAGTGTTAGGGAAGGCTTACCCAGCTGCCCAACTTCAGGCTGTTCCTGCAAGTAGCCACTGGATGTTGAGAGGCCTTGGACCTCACCTTCATCCAAGTGTTCCACACACTGGAGTTAAGCTTAAGCAGGAGGACCTTGGGGGAGAGTCTAACCAGAAGAGCTTCCCTCCGAAACACAGCAGGAAAATGCCTAGTGCTAGTCACAATGGAAAATGAGTGGCCAGCCACTGACTGACCAGCTCTACCTGTGGCTGGAGCTTTGAGGAGATGCCCAGGCAGCCTTGAGAGACCATGTGTCCCAAATCCTGCCCCAGGACCCAGCACGTGGGAGAAGAACAAAACGTTCCCCATAGAGCACAGGTGTGCTCACCTTGTGCGTGTGGTCTGCGCATGTGTGCCTGGAGGTGCACGGCCACCTGTATGTTGTGTTTGGACAAATATTTACTTGGTTGGTTGGGGAGGGGGTGTAACCAGTTGGGGTTCCCTTTGGGTAAAAGTAAGGGCCAAGTGGTGTACCTCCCACCCCCCAAGCCTCTTCCTGGGAGGCCAGGACTAGGGGCCTAGGTCTACCTGAGTAAGCCAACTGCAGGGTGGTGCATGACCCCGCCTGCTGCTCCCCCTAGCCTGACAAGGTCGACCTGAAGACCAATCAATGTCTCCAAAGTCCAGCCCAGGCTGCCAATGTGGGGCTGAAGTTCGCAGCAGCCTGGCACGAATTAGGTAGCCCCAAATCCCCAAATACTACGGAGGCCCAAATATACTCCTGGGAGCAGAGGAAAGGAAGTGGTTGCAAAGCAGTCCGTGCCCCAGCCCCAGAAGCCTCTAGAGGAAAATTGGTGGAGAAGAAGATCCATTTGGGGGCACAGCTACACAGTCGCCCCCGCCTCGCCGTGTCCTCACCCACCATCCTTGGTCCCCAGCAGTGGCGCAGCTCCACCCGCCTAAGCTCAGTCCACACCATCCTTTCTCAGCAAAACAACACGACGCACCGCCTCCCGCACCCGCACACTGAGGGATCGCGCGCGGGCTACGCCCAGTGGGCCACCAGCGGCGCCCTGCTGGGTAGCGCGCCCCGCGCCCCCGCTGCTCTGCAGCCACCTCCGCCCCTGGTCTGCACAGTGTCGGAACCCCAGTTGCACGCGGGTGGGGAGCCAGATCCAAGCCTCGGCCCCGCAGTCCAACTCCGGGCCCTGCTCCTCCCCTCCCCCAGGCCACCCTAAGTGACAGAAGAGGCACGCACGGCGCGCGCGGGGCGTCCCGCGTTAACCGCCTCGGCGCCGGGGCCTGGAGCCACAGGGCTGGGACTCACCGGAATGTGCACTCGCAGCGAACGCCTCTTCTGGCTGGGATTCTTCTTGCCGCCGCTCCCGCCCGGGCTGGAGACCTCTTTCTTCTTCTTGGTGTCCATGGCCGCGCTTCCCATAACTTTAGCCAGAAGTTAATTCCGGTGCCTCGTCCCTGAGGTTCGGTCCCCTCTCTGCCTCCCCTGGCCGCTGCCGTTGAACTGGAGTCGCGTGCTCTTTATGACTGTCCTTCCACCCTGAAGACACCTCGTGGGGACTTCCGCGGGGAAGGCGGGTCGAGCAGGTAACTCGCGCCGCACCACCCGAGGGGGTGGCGGCCGGCGGGGAGCGCGGAGTTGGAGCGTCCTCTTTCCCCTACGGAATCATGGGGTGCAAAATCAGAATCAGGGCCCGCGCTGGTTCTGGTTACGCGTGGCTGAGGTCTCTTGCTGGGTGACAAAGTTTTCCTCCTTTTGCAAAGCGAAGCAACATTTTCCGCCCCCTCGGCTCCTCCCCCAGATTCCCAGAGGTAATCTGAAAGGCAGGTGCAATTAAAAACAGTGATTTGGCAAACAAGTCTCCGGTGCCTGGGCTTCGGTGGAAAGGGTGGCGAGGGAGATGTGCATATAAATACATGACCCTGGGCCGCGGAATAAAGCAGCCCGGAGCCTGGGACCGGGGCCGCCTCCTCCCTGGGCGAGAGGGAGGGCAGAGGGGGAAGAGGAGGTGCAAAGGCGAAAGCTCTTCGCAATTGGGCTATTGCGTGGCTGCGGGCAGAAGTTCTGGTGGCGGCCGTGCGGCCCAGCCCGCAGGAGGGCGCGCCCCAAGCCCCGCGGAGCGAGGAGGACAGGGCGTCCACCGCCCACTGACCGCAGCGCCGCGGCCCCGGGGGACCGAGAGGGGACTGCCCGGAGCCGGGCCTGGCGAGGACGCAGACTCGGGGAGCGCTGGCAGTGGAGGCGGCGCGCGTTGAACAGGAAGTGCGCGGCGTGTGGCGCCACTGTCCCGCTCCCCGTCGCCCCCGGGTCACCGTGCACTGTCCCCGGCAGCCCAGGTGGCTCGGGACTTGCTCGGAGCTGATTTCTTGTCCACCTCATCTCGCAGGGTCTCTGCTTCGACCTGACTCCCTGAATCACGCACACGCACCGGGTCCCCCGCCGTAGACCCGCAACGTTGGGAACCCTGGGTTTCCGTGGGCTGCGCGTTGCCCTGCAAGTGCTTGGCGGAAAGCCACGGCCCTGCTGGGTGGCGCGGCACCGACAGCGATCTGTCGCTGGGTGAGTGCCGGCTTTTCTCTCTCACCCCACCCACCCGCTCTTTTCACGTTCACCAGGAGTTGCGCAGCGGATCCGCGGTAAAGTGCATGTCCCCGCGCCGCGGAAAACGCAGAGCTCCTGGGAGTGCGGAGGAAACCGGAGGGAGTGGGTCCAAAAACCAAGGCGAGGGCTCCACGTGCCGCCGCTGGGCTGCAGATCCGGCACCGCCCGTTGCGATGGCTCCCTAAGCGCTCCCCCGGGCGGCGGGACTTTGGCTTCTGGGCTGGAAGTAGGGGGAGAGGGGGGCGCTTCCCCTCCTGCTTAGTGGCTGAGGACCGGGTGACCCCGACATCCCCGAGCTCTCTGAATGCTGACGTCAGCTCAGCTGCTCCTCGTAAATCAGTAATGCAGGGGTGCCACCCAGAGAAAGATCGCGGACAGGGGTCGCTTTAGGGACACCACGGGGGCAGTAAGGAGGTGGCCTTCACTCCTCTGCAGGTGCAGTCTCACGGTTTCCTAGAGGAGGAGGTGTGGTTAGCGCCTTTTAGGGACCTTGCTTAAAGAAGAGTCTTCCTCTGTCCAGGGAGAGGCAACCGGTTCAGCCATCTTTCGGTTTCCACTTCCCACACAAACTCCAGAAACGTGGGCAAAATCCCTAGAGTCAGGGTGGGTCCCTGGATCATGGGGTGGGTTTATATCCCTTCTTCCCCCCTGCTTTCCAACCCAGAATGAAACCAGACTGGAAGGACCCCACAGTCCCTGAGCAGATGCTCTGGAGAGACCTGGTAGAGGTCAAAAACCAATCAGTTATCACCGGCCCAAGAGAGTGGAATTTCTTGGTCTTTCCCTGGCTGGCTTCTTGCTAAAAGACTTCAAGTAGGAGAGGAGGCCTTCAGTCCATGGATGCAATGTAGTAACGATCAGATCATTTCCCCAGCTCATCATTTACATCTCTTCTCTTTAGCTTAAAATGTTAATCCTTGTTACAATGATAACTTGCCAGGTTGCATAAATCACACCATTTGATAAGAACTGGTTTTGAAAAAAACTGATGGAGCAATCAGAAGGGAGCCCAAAGACTGGGCAGGAAGTCAGGAAGAGCCAGGCTGGAAGGGCCCTTCATGGGGAAGGAAGCCACAGTGTTCCTTATCATATGTTGAGTTTTCTTGATGGGACAGTTTTTAGCACTTGGTATAATGTATAATGGGTGCTTTTGTCAGTTGATTTGTGTAAATATATACAACCCTTCATCAATAAGTAAGTGTGTCCTGTAAGTTAATTTTGTTGGAGTGTAGATTTTAGTGCCTTGGAATCCTAAAGCAAAATATTTTATTAGCCAGATATGGTGTAGCATATCTGTAAATCCCGGCACTTCTGAGGCCCAGGCAGGGAGATCAAGAGTTCAAGGCCAGCCTAGACTATATAGCACGACCCTGTCTCAAAAAAATTACTAGCATGCTTATATTGTAAGGGCTTTGGGGAGACATTGCTAGTATTTCTGAAATCACTTGGATGTTTCCTATGTAAGAAGCAGCTCACTAGCTGTTTTTTTTTCCTTCTGAAATGATATTAATACATTGACATATGTCTCCTGATCAGTGGAGTCTCTGAATGGAGGGAGTGCAGTGATTATTTTCTTCCAGGCACTTCTGGAAGCCCTCCACACGGGTGTGGTACATTTATTTGAGCAATAGCTCCAAGTGGCACGTCCAACATTGTTGTGCACTTGATGACCTGACATCCATGCTGCTGAATGTCCTACATATGACCTTCTTACCGTTAATGCAATAAAATCTGTGCTGGACAACATATCAAAATCTTAAATAAGATAGTGAACCTGATTTCTTGCCGTTTACCTCGGGCTGCAGTGCTGCTAGGCTCAGCACCGTTACTGATTGTCTTTGTATAATGTTCTGATTTTTAGGAAAACATCGTATTAAAATAGTATTTATCTTGACTGAATTTTTGGAACCCTCATAGATTTCTTTTCCACACAAGGCCACTGCCTCATTCACCTCCCCTGGTCTCTGTCCTTCTACTGATGGACATTTCCTGGCTCCCAGAGGACTATGGGAGTCTCACCACTGTCTGTGCTGTGTGACAGTGAGTAAGTCATTTAGTTTCCCCATCTATAAGGGCAGTGACATGGTTTTTAGAAGACTTCTGAGGCCTTTTGAACCAGGGCTTATATTTTGTCTTGAATATATTTTGTTAAATTTTATTTCTGTAGCAATTTTTTTTCATTGAATTTTGTAAAAGTATCATTCACAATAAATTAAAAATAAAGAAACAACAGCAAAAGTACCCAGGTCTTTCACTAGACTTGGTTTGGAAGAGCTTCCCAGGAAAGGGTGCACTGAGATACTGCCTGTTTGGAGTATCACTGGTCCAGGGTGATGGCAGTGAAGTCAGTAATGACATACAGTATTAGTAGGTGATGGGGTGATGGTGCTAGGGTGTTTCACAACTCCTAGTGAGAGTTTTATTAACCGGTTTTATGCCACACTTCTGTGACATGGCTATACCACTGCACTAATATCACCTGCACATCTGGAGTCCCCATTTCTGAGAGATGTCACCCCCAAGGCTCCTGCTTGACACACTGGTCCACCCATGCTGGTCTATTCCTCAACCAGGGTAATGTTTCATTCAGAGATTTTTTTTTTTTTGGCAGTATTGGGGATTAAACTCAAAGCCTTGCCTCTACCACTTGAGCCATACCACTAACCCTTTTTTGCTTTTAGTTTGCTTTTCAGATAGAGTCTTGTGCACCAGTGCCTGAACCAGCCATGGACCATAGTCTTCCTACCTCTGCCTCCCAAGTAGCTGGGATTACAGGTATACACCACCAGACCCAGATTGTTTTTGAGATAGATCTCAACAACTTTTGTCTGGGATGGTCTTGAACTGAGATCCCCCTATCTCTGCCTCCTGAGTATTTAGGGTTATAGGTATGTGCCACCATTCCTGGCTCAAAAGAAGACAATTTAAAATGTTGCACCCAGGGCTGAGGCCTACAACCCAGCTAAGAAGTGGAATAAAAAAAGTACAAGTATTTACATAAAGCCTATGTAGTGGCACAAGCTACTGGGAAGGCTGAGGCAGGGGAATCACTTGAATTCAGTAGCTCCAGACAAGCTTGAGCAGTGTAGGGAGACACCATATCAAAAAAAAATTAATATAAGGAAATCCTCCATTAAGAATTTATAGGTATTGGTGGTTTCATTTCACTTAATCTAATTGTATCTACTAATGTCCTATATAAATGAAGGTGACTTTGGAGGCCATGGGCTTTGTGGAGCACTGACAATTCACAGAGCCTCATGGATTTGAAGTCCACTTGCCCCGCCCCTGGGAATGCTGCAGTTAGAAGAACTTTAGGGGTCATGTGTCCGATGAACTCCCCTTCACCCTTGACCTTGTGTTTGGCGTTGGGAAGAGGGCAGCATCAGTGTGTGATCACCTATGGCAGGCCCAGGACAGCTCATGGTAATTATCTCATTTTCATCAGGGTCTGCATCCAATGTACTTTACAGCTGGGGGCTGAAGCCATTTAATTTCCGTCAGTCATCCTTTCTGGGCTCTTTGGGGCAAGAGAAAAAACGTGTGTCCTCCCCCCCCCAAAAAAAAAACCCTTTTTATTTTTATTTATTTATTTTGCAGTACTGGGGTTTGAACTCAGAGCCTACAACTTGAGCCACTCCACCAGCCCTTTTTTGTGAGGTTTTTGTTTTTTGGTTTTCGGTTTTTTTTTTTGAGGTAGGGTCTTGAGAACTATTTGCTCAGGCTGGCTTTAAGCCACAGGCCTTCTGATCTCTGCCTCCTGAGTAACTAGGATTACAGGCATGAGCCACCAGCGCCCAGATTCCCTTTCAAAAGCTTTGCACAAGACTCTAGGAAATGCCTCCAGGCTAACCGTGGACAAGGTACAAAACATCTCAGCTGCTGTGCTATCCTGGCCTGACACGGTTGGTAAGAGCACCAGCCTGTGTGTTCAGGATACACCCGTTCAATTCTGGGCAAAAAGCAACCCTTGTAAAAATGAGCCAACAAGGTCTGGCCTCAGAGCCTTCTGTCAATGCTGAGAAAACTCACCAGGCTAAGGGATGTTATCTAATCATGACAACCAAGGCAGAGTCACAATCCCGTTTTTATTTTCCTAAGCTTGAACACTGTGTAACCTCATGATAGCTTTCGCTCCCTGGTGCAAAGGGAGCCATTAGTATTGGCCTCTGAGGGAAGCAGAGGCAGGGCCCACGATGAGCACGAATACTCCTTTGGAACTATATCTCCCTTTCCTGGCTCCACTTTGATTTTACAGGGCTCCTGTGCTGGCCATCTTCCTTATCTGTGCATCAGGTTGCTCTCCATTGGCGATGACAGTCAACCCCAGGCAGCCCTGA